GATTAGGAGGAGGTCGCCTGCGCATTTTCGGATAAAGATGATATCGTCTGGATAAAGAGGGATAATGGAGTCTAGAAGATCGTTAAGAACGATGTTGGAGATGTCGGGAGTGAGGGGGTTACCAATTGCTAGCCCGGAAATTTGCTTAAAAAATTGTCCTTGGAAAGAGAGGTAGCCTGATTTACTGGTTTATTATCTCTGTTTTATTCTATCTCATCATTATCTCCATCCTCTTTTAATTAAACTTTCATTTAATTATCCATAATATTTATGAGTAATACATCTCTCGTCCATTATATATGCTTCCGGTACTTTAGTTCAAACTTTTTCAGTCAACCGTCAGAGATGACGCAACAATACATCTCCTCCCTTGCTACCATATCCCCACTCTATTCAAGCAATCTCCTTTTTTTCTTCCTCCTTCCTTTCATTCTGTTTTCCATATTTCCATCTCCACTTTGTATATATTGATACATTTGCTCAGTTATTTTTTACTTTATTTGAACTCTTTTTTTCTATTATATGTAGTCAGTACATTTTGATAGACTTTACAATATCTCAATTTTCTATCCAACTATTATATTTACAATATCTTAATTTTACTATTTATTTTTATTCCTTATATAACTTCATATTCCTTTTCTCTTTTTTACATTTTATTCTAAGATTACCATTTTAGTACTATGTCACCTTATTTTGATTATGTTTACTTCATTATTCAACACTTTGAAATGGTTATTATTATTTATTTCTTAGTTCTTGTTATTGTCATTATTCTACCCACTTCATTTTACTTTATTTTTTTTTACCTACATTGTTTATGTTTCTCATACCTTGTTATCTGGTTCTTTTCTTAGCCCTGATGAAGGCCTGAACTTCAGGTCGAAACGTCGGCAAATGTTAAAATAAATATTATTATTTATTTTTGCCTTTTTATTTCTGACTGATCACCTCAACCATCCTTCTCTTCATTATTCACGACAGTCAACCATCAACCCACAATAATAAATAGGATACATTAAATTAAGCAAAAGGGTTAGAAATACTTTTTTAAAAAAGTTCAAAACTATATATTTGATTATATAATTTGTATAGAATATGAATAAGTATTTATATATATTTTTGCTATTTAATAAATTAGCTTTTTTATGTTTTGGATTATTCAATATTAAATTTTTAAGATTCATATTTTTGTTTTATTCTAACATGTCATTAATTTATTTTTTCTTTTATTGGTTATAATATTTAAAAACTACATTTTATTTTTTTTTGTACATTTTTGTTTGTATAATTTTAAAATGTATTAGACTACATTTTTAGTTAAATCATCTATAATTTTTTTTTTTTTTCTTAAATGCGATGCTGTCATATACAGCTATATCATTATGCACATTTCTTTTACTTGAATACAAGATTTTTGGTTTGTCACTTTCTGTTTTTTATTTTAATTAAATTATTAATACCCAATTAAATTCTAACAGTGTTTTTTTCATATTTTTATATAATTTATTCATTACAAGAATTTTTCTTGTAACGAAAACAATCTTTATTCTTCTCGAAATTAGTTTTCTTATACAATTTATTGTGCTTCAGTTTCAGCACTTATAATGACAATAACTTTTTTTCAGTTTTTAATTTTTTATATAAGCCAATATTACACCGATGTTTTCACTTACACAATCTTACTACGACGTTTTGGCTCGTCAAGCCATTTTCAAGTCTAAAAACAATTTTTCAATTCAGTCATATGTAATATTCTTTTGTTAACTTTTCCTGTATAATTATTTGTATAATCATTGACATATTTTTAAAAAATTACATACTTTGCAATATAAATTTTTTTATAATTACCTATCATGTACTTGTCCATTACGTTTCTTATGCAAAATACATGCGTCTTTTTGTAATAGCCAGTATCATACTCGTCACACCTATTAACTATTATATTACTTTATTATTATAAAATTTATTCTTAATAAAAGAAAACATCGGTGTAATGTTGGCTTATATAAAAAATTAGAAACTGAAAAAATATACGACACCGAAACAAAATAAAATAATATTGAGTATAACTTTTTGGTTTATTTTTGAATTATAACTACCTTATGACTTATAATTATATTATTCAATGATTAGGTAACACCTCCATTAAATTACTAAACCAGTGAGCAAGAAAATAATTTCTACAAATATTGTTTATCGTATTCTTTTACTTAATGTTGACGTTTCGGATTTCCTCTCATCTTTAGAAATTATTGTTGAAAAAACATACAACTAGCTATCCACACCTACACATAGACTGGGAGCCAATGACATACTTATTCAATAAACAAACATTAAGCTTCTGATAGTCTTTATTGAATAAAACTGTGATCTCCAAATCTTGCTATCCAGACGGGTGCATTTGGAAGAAATTGGGAGTCTTCATCTTCAATGGGCGCTACAGTCCTTGTAGAACCTGGGCCTCTGCCACCACTCTTCTCCACTCCTCACGGTCCGCAGCAAGATTCCTCCAATTTCTGATCCCCAGCCTCCTCAAGTCTTCTTCCAGATCATCCAACCATCGGTGTCTGGGTCTACCTCTTTGTCTTTTCCCTCCTGGAGTACCATTCAGCATCATTTTTAGGAGTCTGCTGAGATCCATTCTTTCAACATGACCCAGCCATCTGAGCCTGCCCTTCTTAATGACACTAAGGATGTCTGGCTCTCCATATAACTCCATTAACTCTGTGTTGCTTCTTATTCTCCATCTACGCTGCTCTCTGACAGCTCCAAAGATCTTCCTATGGACTCTTCTTTCCCACACCAGCAAGGATCTCCTGTTTTCCTTGGTCGTAGTCCACGTCTCACTGCCATACAAAACGACCAGTCTAATCACCTTTTTATATATTACTATTTTTGCCTTCCTGGACAGACTTTTGTATCGGAGAGCCTTTTGCAGAGCATAGGAACATCTAGTTCCTGCAACCATCCTGCATTTTATTTCTGCTTCCATATTATTGTTTTCCGTCACTACTCCGTCCAAGTACTTAAATTGATCACAGTTGCGAAACGTGTCTTCTCCCAATTCAACAGTATCTCCTCTCTCTCTGGTATGTCATTTGCTTCTACATTTAGCATTTCTTTAAAGTATTGGGCGCATCTCCCCTTGATTTTGTCATTATCAGTGAGAAGGTTTCCATTTTGGTCCCGACAGAATTCTGTCTTTTGGCTAAAGCTCTGTCGTAGCCATTTAACGCCCTTGTAGAACTTCCTACTCTCTTGTGCTAGAAACATTTCTTGCATCTCTTCGAGTTTCATCGTTTCGTATGCTCTTTTCTTATCACGCATAACTTTTTTAGCCTTTCTTCTTTTTTTTGAGTATGCTTCATATGTACTTCGTGTTTTCCTTTGGGTCATTTTTATCCAAGCTTCATTTCTTTCTTGTAGGGCCTTTTCACAATCACTATCAAACCAAGGATTCCTTTTCTTAATCTTTTCCCTTTTTCTTGTCACCTTCCTGATAGACTCTCTTAATTTACCTCATCTTTCCTTTGCGTTCATCTCTTCTCCACTCCATTCCTGGCTGAAATTTCTCTTTATACATTTGTCTTGTGGGTTCCTCCATCAACTTCTCGATTTCACAAGCATATGCTTTTACCCCCAAAGTCTTCTTTCTACGTGCCAGACGTTGTTCATATTTTGCCACCACCATGAAATGGCCAGATTCACAGTCTGCTCCCCTGTAGCTATGTGCATCTGAGATGTTAGAAAAGTGTCTTGCGTCTATCATTACATGGTCTATCTGACTTCTAGTTCGGTCTCTTGGACTTATCCACGTTTCCTTGTGAATATTTTTGGGGGGGAACATAGTAGTCATAACCCTCATTCCTTTAGACATGGCAAATTCTACTGTTCGAAATCCATTATCATTTGTTACTTCATGTCTGCTATGTTGCCCAATTGTGGGTTTGTATATTTCTTCCATGCCTATCTGAGCATTGAAATCTCCGAGCACAATCTTAGTGTCATACTGTGGTATCTGCTTGTATGTCCTTGCCAGATTGGTATAGAATGTTTTCTTGTCCAGTTCCTCCGCATCTTCACAAGGGGCATGCACACTAATCAGTAATATATTGCAGAATCTACCCTTCATTCGGATTCTGCAAAAATCCTGTCACTAATGCAATCGTATCCAAGTAGCGCATGTTGGATATTTTCCTAATCATGAAACCTGTGCCTCTTTGATTTTTCTTAGAGCCACTATTTATTAGGATGTACTTGCTAAGGGTCCTCCCCATATCCTTATCTCCCCACCGGATTTCCTGTAGAGCCACTACATCTACTTTATATTGTTCCATAAATCTCTGCTATGGCTTACCACTTTGCATATTTTGATATAACTTTTGAGAAGTTTGCAAGTGTTTACTTTCTTGTTGAATAGAACCACAAAATTTCACATATTACTCCAAATTTCACCTAAAATGCACCGTTCTGGACAGCAAAACCTAGCGATCATAGTTCTACTCAATAAAAACTATTGGTTAAGACAATCAGTAGCTTTATGCTCATCAGTTGAATGTGTTGTTAGCTCCTAGACTAACAGTAAAATTTTCTAACCATTTTAATCTATTAAGGTATGCACACACTAAACAAATCTTGGCCAATGTGACCAACTGTTTTGTTGGTCAAGATTTGGCTTAAATGGACAGGAAGCTATCAGAACTAACTAATCAGTTGGTCTGTCCATACTCAGAGGAAGAAGCTGATACCTTGTTGTAATGATGCATCTTAACCGCATTATGAAAAGCAAAACCCCTTTTAGTAAAAACATGAAAAAACAATAACAAGGTTATTAATGTTGTTAATGTATGTTGGTCAAATGGTTATGTTACTATTTCCTTGTCTTTTGGCAGCTCATTGTGTACATTTAAGTCTTAGCTAAGACATTCTGTGGTTATAGTGACTTATTTAGTTGCAAACAATTAAATTAAAAATTTGTTTTTGCAATTATTGGTGAAATGGCCAGCCAAATATCAGAAGAGGTACTTATCCAACATCCCATTCTTTTTGAGTTTTGCAAGGGTAGCAAAGCAACAGTTGCTACCAAAAACATTTTCAATGTTTATCCAAATGCATTAGACGTTTGTAAATACCAAAGGTGGTTTTTAAATTTTGAATCCAGTAATTTTGATCTTTTCGACTTGTATCAATAAGGAAGACCAAAAACATTAGATAATGACATGTTAAGGGCGAATGTGGAAGTAAATCTGTTTCAGAAACTCGAAGAATTGTCAAATAGTCTTAATCAATCTTGGTCGACCATCCAAGAACATTTTCAGCAGATTGGAAAACCACCATATGCAACTTATTGCTTCAACGGCACAATACAGATGCGTTTTTTGATCACTTGATTACTGGAGATGAAAAATGGGTCCTGTATCATAATTTAAAACACTAAAGGCTGTGGCTCTCTCCAAAAGAATCGCCATGAAGTTTGAAGGCTAAGCCAGATTTACACCCCAAAAAGATTCTTTTGTATGTTTGGTGGAGTATTTGTGGCATTGTTCATTTTTAAGTGCTGAAACCTGGACAAACTGTGAATGCAGACTTTTACTGTGAACAATTGGATCACGTAAATCAATCTTTAATTGAAAAGTGGTCAGCGATTGTCAACAGAAAAGGCATTATTCTGCAACATGAAAACACAAGATCGCACTGCTCAGGAGGTACTGGATGTTGCACCATCAGATTTCCATTTTTTTCAATCATTTCAACAGTGGCAAAAGATTTGCAAATTTGGATGATGTACAAAATTTCATCCATTTGCAGAGAGAGAAGTTGGAAAATATCAAGCAGGTTTCAGAGGTGGGAGATCTACAGTTGATCAAATGTTCATTCTTTGGATGATACTAGATAAGTCTCAGGAGAATCGGATGACAACTCACCACCTCTTTGTCGATTTCCGGAGAGCCTATGATAGCATTAAAAGGCCTAAGTTGTACACAGCTTTGAGAGAATTTGGAGTCCCTTTGAAGTTGGTTTGACTGATCAGAATGACAATGGATGTTACAAATTGTGCAATGAGAATTCAGTCAGATCTCTCCCCACAGTTTGTATCTACCAGAGGTGTTAGACAAGGCGATGGCCTCGCCTGCCATTTGCTCAACTTAGCCTTGGAAGTTGTACGTGGAAAGTTTTACGTGATTCAGGCATACAGACCTCTGACACCATTTTCAACCGGCTCCTTCAGGTTCTCGGCTTTGCTCATAACTTGGATATCGTCACAAGATGTTTTGAGTTCTTAAGAGAAGCTTTTCTCAAGTTGGCAGAGGATATGGGGATGTATGTAAACCAGGAGAAGACAAAGTATATGAGAGCTGGGCCAGGAGTGGAGACAGCGGACTGACAGCCCGTGGTGTGGGTCAATTCATGTTCCAGAATGTCGACCAGTTTGTATACGTAGGGTCAGTGGTGAGTTGTGGAAACAGGATCTCCATAGAAACTAGTCAGCGACCCATCAAAGCCAACAGGTGCTATTTTGATCTTAGAAAGCACCTGAGAAGCTCCTACCTTTCTCGCCCCACTAAGTGCCTCTTATATAAAACTCTTATAAGGCCTGTCCTAACATATGGATCAGATACCTGGACCCTCACAAGTAATGAAAAGAGAAAAATTCTTATATTCGGACGAAAAATTCTCTGAAAATATTTGGACTGGTAAGGAGTGGAGAGGACTGGATACGGAGGACAAACAATGAAATTTACCAACATTATGGCGAAACTGACATAATGAAGTTTATTAAGTTGTTAAAAATGCAGTGGACTGGCCATGTTGCACGCATGGCAGAAGAAGAAATGCCTAGGAAACTGCTGGATGGGAGGCTCCACTGGACAAGGGGAAGAGGAAGACCTCATCTCAGATGGGAGGACACTGTTGTCAGAGATGCCTGCAACCTACTCAACATCTCCAACTGGCAAGTGGTGGCACAAAATCGAATTACCTGGTGAAGATTTGTCGAGGAGGCCAAGGACGACATCGGTCTGTAGGGCTAAGGAATAGTAGTACAAAATGTCATTTCTATATATTTTTCTCAAAAAATCAATTGATTTTTATCGATCCTGCATTGAAAATTTGCACACTAGATGACATAAGGTTTTGATACTGAGAGTGATTCCATTATTGATTAAAAATAAACACTCGTGCTAAATTTATGTATTTGAATTTAATGTAAGAAAACGACATTACTTTCCGGTTCCCCTAATATATAATAGTAAGAAAATACTAACATAATGATTTGTCTTCTTTACATATAATAATCTACATCTTACTAATGATTTTAAAAGTTGAATGAAAGGCATAAATAGCAATTATGAGAAAATGTCTAAATTTTCAATTTTTCCTATCCATCTGTATATCTGAAGTAGGGAAAGTAATTTATACAATGTGAATTGTAATGAAAAAAAAACATTAGCAGCAGAGTTCCACCACTGATGTATTTTCCTCTTATTTTTGTTTAAGAAGACTGATGAATATTGATTTAATTGTTTCGTTAATACTTATTTAAGGAAATGGAATATAATTTTAAAATGTTGCAAATTATTAACTTTGGCTAATTATTTACAAATAGTTCTATATAAAATATGTAGGTAATGTACTCCCTTCACCAAACTTTCCTTACCAGTTAAGGAAAAAATTATTTGCTAAAATTGGCCAGAGTATTTTATATTTTGACAATCAGATTATTATTGTATTCCAATTTAATGATATCTTGGTTAGATTGTTTATTAACCTTTTTTTTAAAAAATATATATATTTTTAATGACCCATTTTAAAATATAACAGCATAATCAAATGTTATTTTTGATAGCCTGCTTTCATTATTCCATACGAGTTTTAAAAAATGATTAGCAAGTTTAATAACTTGTTGACCACAAATTTTAAAAAGCCTGTTTATTCTTTAATTTCATTCTAAATATTTGAAATTCCTAATTAATCAACTTTTTCCTTCTCCAATGATTCATTATATTTAGTAGGTAAATATATTTCGTTTGTAATTAGGAGCATATCCATTTAAATAATTTGGTTATTTATTTCTTCCTAACATGTGATATTCTTTTTATTTTTTTCTTTATTAAGATTGAAACTCTATACTTAGCTCTATTATATTTTCAATTTTTAATCAAAGATGGAATTAGTCACTGAATTTATCACTCCTTTTTCTTCTTTCCACTTTTATTTCAGAAAACACTATTATGTCCTCACTAAAGATTTTTTATTTATGTAGGGAAACTGGGAATCTTATTTGTCAGTCCTTAAATGTTTCAACATCCAACTTCTATTGTCATACAGAGATGAAACCTTAATCTCTTTTAAAGATATACAATTATATCCTTAAGTAAACAATATGGTCCTTGCTTTGTTTTTTTTTATTTACCATTTTAACATTATTTAATCTTGTTTATTATCCGGCTATTTAAGAAAGAAATAATGACCTAAGATTTATCAACTAAATGAAAATAATATTACTTTTGTGTAGTTTTATTTTTTTATTGATAATTAATGAATGAATTATTTTTATTTTTTATCATTATGAATTTTTGTGATTGTCACTCACCATTATCCGAATAATCGGTTTTAATTATATTTTATCATCAATTATTGAAGTATTATAGTAGTTCTTTTTCTATAGAATAATTAATTCTTAAATATTCAATAACTAATTATTGAATACTTAATGATTTAGTTATTTTACATTTTTCAGTGTTGGGAAAACGGTGAGAAAGATGACATCGGAAGACCTGGAAACATTCAGCAACCAGATTGTGAGTATTCTACTCCTTCACCGGTCTCGAACTCTCCAGATATCCGACTCTCCCCATCCTCCCCGCCTGCTTCCCCATCCTCTGAAGACAACAGGACAAGCCTTCTTGCTACTTCCAAAGATGAAATGAAACCTCAGTTGCCGATGGAGAATTTTTATGATCATAGTCCTGGTGAAGTTTATACAATACCTGAGGAAGAAGATGAGATATCAAGTCCAACTAGCGATGGTGTTACAAGTTTGAGAAAGCGACGACTAGTGGGAGGTAACTCACTAGGCCTCTCACACTTCATCAACTCACTTATTCAGTTTTCCCTTCCTCTACCTTTCTCTGCACTCTATTTGCTTTCGATCCATATGATTTCACCATCCCATGAACAAATTAAAAAAGTTAAATGATTTTTGCAAAGTAACAATTTGATTGGAGTTGGGAATTAAAAATGCTATCAAAGCAATTCACCTATTTTCTTTAATTTTATGCTTTTGTTATTTTACAGACGATAACTGCATATATATATATATATATATATATATATATATATATATATATATATATATATATAAATGTGTGTGTGTATGTGAACAAGTATGTATGAGTTTGTCTGTACATAAAAACTATGTGCATAAATAATACAATGCTTTAATCATTTTATCTAATTATATTAATATTTACTTATATCCTGTTTTTCTTGAGTAGAAAACTATATTTTCTTTTCATTTCCTAAAAGACCTATTATTTTTATTTAACAGAACCATATATATTTGGATTTGATTATTATTCCATTTCTATGATATAAATCTCTCATTAGAATGCTTAACAATTTTGTATGTAAGTAACCTTCTTATAAAGTAATCAATCTTTGTTTATTTTAGAATGCTAACAAGGGGGAATAAAGAACACTAAAACTTGTTGGAAGGGAAACTAATTAAGTAGCAGGCTTTTGTTAAATTCCTTGCATCAACCATGTGCATGTGTTATGTGCATGTATGTTAAAGTATGTGTTTGTGCATGTACATATACGTTTGTTATGAAGCTAATGTCTTCAAACATTTTTAATAATTTATTGATGAAATTTAGGGTTTTATTTGTAATTGTTATAAGTTCCCTTTCATACATCATATCTAAATAATCTCCACTGTTTGTATTGAGCACCATTTGCTCTAGTCATCTCTGTTATCTTTATTATTGAGCTAAATTTAATTTTTTTAATTTTTATGTTTTTGAATATTCGGTTAATTCTTCAGGCAGATCTTAGTACTTGTGTTCTTAAGTGTGAAGATATATTGATTGTGTTGAAAATTGATTACAGGAAGTAGATCAACTGTTGAACAGTATTTCCCGTCTGGCAAGTATTTTAAAAACTACAATACCCAGGTGTTATTCACCAGCAATACATGGATTTAAAAAAAAATGTCTGTACAATACCATAAGTTTTATCATTTTTATACAAATCAGAAAATAACAAAGAATTGCTCCCAATAGGAAATCTTGTTAAGTTAATCAGTCCATGCCTACTGTAAGAAATCAGATGAAAAGGTAATCAGCAATCCACCAACAGGTGCAACTACATGCCTCAGGTTTTTGTTGAGTATGATATTATAGATTAGTTTTTGTAGGGTTAGGTGAAGGGAAGTATTATCTATTTATATTAATGCCCAATTTTGTTGAATAGGTAATTAATGTTCACAAACATTGACAACATGATTTATGTAAACTGATATCTGACATTTATATTCTGATCTATGGCTATCACATAACATTATTTTTTAATCTTAAATAGAATTATAATATTTACGCCATTTTAAAGAGACAATATAACAATTCATTAAACTAACCACCCTAAAATGTAATCTTCTAACCTGATTAATTTTTATATATCATTTGACCAGGGGTGCCTAGAAGGGGGTTTCATGGAGCAAGTTGTGCCATCAAAATTTTTCAGAGAGGCACATTTCAACAGGGTTATAATTTTCAGAATGAAAGGTTTTGAAAGAGAGGTCAAGGAAAAAACATAGAACAGACCGCTGCAAGTGTAATTATATATATATATATATATATATTATATATATATATATATATATATATATATATATATATATATAAAATTATATCCACAAATATTTTTAATTCTACTTTAGTTTGCACTGTTTTTAAAAAGAGAGCAACAAAATGTCTTGGAAAGGGGGAAGGTTCGTGTACCATCAATCTTGGGGGGGAATGGGTACCCCTGCATTTGATGATATCTTATCATAAACACAGTTATTAATAAGGGTGGAAACAGTAGTCTGCTACATATCCCCTCCCCCAACAACTGCATCAAGGAAGTGTTCATTTAGTTTTATATTCCTCAAATATCTATTGAGTTTATTCTGAAAGTTGTTTAGTTTTCTTCCTTGAATCCTCAGCTTATGTAGACTTTAGGATTTCCTCTGGGATAGCCAATAGGATAGCTGGTTTTATTTAGTCCAACGAAACTGTGATTTCTCTGTTTGGCAACTTCTGAGTAAATAGTTTTTCCGTGCATTAGTGCAAACACATGTGTGTGCATCTCCAAAGACTTATGAACAAACATATTTTTTAAAATATATGTAATTGCTGCAGGACGCAGGTCATCTTTGAACTGTACTGTCTCTCTTAAACAAAAGTTACCAGGTGTGGGAGACAGAGGCATACCTGGCAGGCTTATAGTTTGTCCATATAAGGCTTCTACTACACTGTAACTCATATCATTACACATAGTTGCTTTTAAACAGATCTTTGACAATAATGATATCAAACATATGAATTATCTAAGAACTTTATCAATGCATTTTCATATATATATATATATATATACTCTTACAAATACTTTATTGGTTTTTCTTTGTAATAAATTATTGATAGAAATTTAAAATTATCATTGAAAAATAAAGTTTTCCATATTAAGAATTAAAAATAATAATCTTTTCGTTTTCTATTTCACCTATATTATGAAAATTACCAAGGTGGTTATATACACTTGTTAACTATATTACTCCCAAAGCTTCTACACTGATTTCAAATTTATAATTTAAAACAAATTGAATTGATTTGGCAAATACTTTATTTATTTTTATTGATTTGTCTACAAAAAAATTTACATTTGTGTTATATCTTGTTAATTAGATTTTGGTGAATAAATATTTTAAAAAATGTTATGATTGAATTCATTATAAAAACTATAACCACAAAATAAAGCTATGAAACTTTTTGTTCCACATTAATAATTCTCTCTGCTATGGTAAGTGGTGAGGAGGATGAAAAATAGGTACAAAAAAGAAGAAACAATCCGTTATTTTAGTAAAGAAACAGAGGGTGGAAACTGTACCCAAAGGAGAAGAAGTGGATGGTGTTGTAGTATGTTTAAAAATGTTCATGAAGATTTAGAGACATGCCAGTTGTTTATATGTGCCAGATAGCCACTGGCCCTCCGGGTTGGTGGAACAGTACACTGTATACTCTATACAGCACACTACCACACACTCACTCATATCATAATAAAAGGTCATAAACAGTACACACCCTAGGGTCACATTCCCTAGGTAGCCGCGCCCGGATGGAGAAGTGTGTCAGGGCACTTTGAGGAGGAAGCCCCTCCACCTGACTCGGAGGCAATGGGCTGCTATCCTATTCCCCTTAAATTTTTTTATCTACAAAGCTCAGAAAGGATTAGCCGGACTGATATACGGAAAATAAATCAGGAAACATCAATTGGAATATACTATCGCCTCATGGAATATTTTGACACTTTATAGACCTGGAGCACTGCAAGTGCTTCTAAATACCCTTGAAAACTATAAAATAGACATAGCTGCCATTCAGGAAATCAGGTGTACCGGGCAGGGCAGCATAAAGAAAGGAAACCACACTGTACATTATAGCTGTGATGACCGCCTCCACACATTCGGGACTGGTTTTGTTGTTAACAAAAGACTATCTCAGAATGTGATTGATTTTAAACCAATTAGTCCTAGACTCTGCATGCTCCGACTTAAGGGGAAATTCTACAATATTAGCCTAATATGTGTTCATGCACCTACAGAAGTGTTAGAAGAGGATGTGAAAGATGCCTTCTATGAAGGGCTTGAATGATGTGTCGAAAGCAGTCCCAGATTCGACATGATTGTGCTAGGTGATTATAATGCACAAATAGGCAAAGAACCTACATATCAACCAACAATAGGTCTCCATAGCTTACATGATATTTCCAATGACAATGGGAAGAGACTCATAAACTTTGCAGAATCAAAAGGTCTTTGCATTGGTAGCACATGTTTCCCTCACAAGAAAATACATCTGGCTATGTGGAGAAAATTTGGAGCTAATGGGAGAATCTCAACTTCACAGATTGATCATGCGCTCATTAGTACCAGGCATAGGTCTTCGCTGATGGATATGAGATCATACAAAGGAACGAATGTGGACTCGGACCATTATCTCTAAAGCTAGAGTACGGATTTCAAGAAGAAGACAGAACGGTGCTCCTGTGTTGCGGTTTGACACATCCAAGCTCAAAAGTGAAGAGAGTCAGACAAGGTTAACTGCTGCAATGGATACAAAGATTAGGACCATTGACCTTAATGCAACCATTGATAATCAATGGAAAGAGTGTGAAACAGCTATGATTGAGGTAGCAAAGGAAGTAATTGGGATCGAGGAAAAGCAAAGGAGAAAACCATGGTTCGATGAACAATGCAGGATACTAAGTGAGGAAAAAAATCGGGCATACAGAACCATGATCCAGAAGAAACACGCCAGAAGATATGTAGAGGAGTACCGTGCAAGAAGAAGAAGAGAAACACACACAGAAACGGAAGAAGCGACAGTGGGAAACCAAGAGGCTTGCTGACATAGAAGCTGCTTTCAATGAAAAAAGTAGCAGGGCATTCTTTCGAATGATTAATAAAGACAGCAGAGGATTCCATTCTCTGAATTATGCCTGTAGGGAAAACGATGGCACACTGGTCACCGAGGAAGCTGCAATCATGGAAGTATGGGCAAACCACTTCCAAAATCTATTAAATAGAGGATGTCAAGAGAACACACTCCCAAGTGACTTCCTGGAACGGGAAGATGAGGTATTTATAGAGCCTCCAGATGAAGAGGAAATACATGATGCAATTGGGAAATTAAAGAATAACAAGGCTCCAGGAATTGATAATATCCCAGCTGAGCTCTTTAAAGGTAGTGGGGGTGAAATAATAAAATTCCTCCAAGAGTTATTGATTGAAATATAGAGAGAAGAAAGACTACCTGCTCCATGGAACAAAACGGTGATTTGCCCTATTCATAAGAAAGGGGATGTATCGATATGTAATAAATACAGAGGCATCTCTCTCCTTCCCACCGCATACAAAATTCTATCCGTCATACTCTTCAA